AATCTTACAAATCTAGGTGATTCACTCAGATTTACCTCACTGGTCTCTTCTTACGAATTCCCAAATTCTTCATTTCTGAATTGTTGATGGTATTATGCTCTCAGGCTTGCACTTAGATCAGTTTTCCAGGCTTTTGGATTTCATGGGCCAGTCATATTTTTTTAATTTGGAAGAATTAATACAGGCTTACCTCTTTTCAATTTTGCCAAGTAAGGTAAAATTTTTATTTTTGAAAATAAAAACAAAAAGTGTCATCACCGTTATTTCTTAACAGAAAGGACATTAGGTAGGACATAAACTCAGATTAAAGAATCTTTATGAAGCACTCACTGCATTGTCCTTATTTCTCTTATTTTGTCATGAACCTTAAGAAACTATCTGATAGGCCAGGTGCGGTGACTCAAGCCTGAATCCCAGCACTTTGGGAGGCTGAGGTGTGAGGATTGCCAGAGCTCAGGGGTTTGAGACCAGCCTGGGCAACTTGGTGAGACCTCATCTCTACAATAAATAAAAAAATAAGCCAGGTGTGGTAGCGCATGCCTGTAGGTCCAGCTACTTGAAAGGCTGAGGTGGAAGGATCGCCTGGGCCCAGTAGGTAGAGGCTGTGGTGGCCGTGAATGTGCCACTGTACTCCAGCCTGGGCAACAGAGTGAGACTCCAACTCAAACAAAAAAGAAAAAGAAAAAAAACTATCAGAACAATAATAACTAATTGTGGTTTTGGTTTTCCTCTTGATGTTGCTGAGGGATTTGCTGCCTCACACTGCTTAAAAAGGTTGTGTGAATATCATGTTTTCCTGGAGGTAAATTTTATGTAGTGGATTATGTCTACTGCGCTATGTGATGTACGTACCTTGGAGTGGCTGTGCCCCACCACAGAGTGCAAATGTCTAAACCCGTCATACTTTACTACCTGCCAGACTGGACCTGTGACCTCGAGCAAATCCTTCTCATCCTTGACCTTGGACTCTCCACCTCTGTATCGAGTGACGCTCGTTTCTTACGTATTCTTCCAGTTCTTTAACTTGGATTCTGTGATGATAACTTTGGTAGCTAGTATCCCTTTTTAAAGTGTGGGTCTTAGGTCTGAAGGTTAATAAGAACCTTTACTGTGGCTTTCTAAGAATATGGACCAAGCTCCTCTTCATATTCCTTCAGATGAGAACTTTGAATTGTTCACATGTGACTAACATAGAGATGTGCAGTCATCCCTCAGAAAGCTTAGGAAATCAGTTCCAGGACACCCCCACCCTCCAGACATTTATCAAGATTGGAGACAACTGGGGCCTGCCACCTGCCCCACAGAGCCCATGTATATGAAAAGTCAGCCTTCCACATACAGGACTTCAATACCATAAGTACTGCATCTTTCTTATATAAGTGCACCCACGCAGCTCAAACTCATGCTGTTTAGGGTCGGCTGTATTTTCATGACTGTACCTTAATGATTTACTATGATTTTTTTGTAATAGCATTAGCTTCACAGATGCTCAGCTGTTTTCTAGCTTGCCAGGGCCTCTGGGAGAAATGCTTATAGAATTTCAATTAAAATAAATAATATTCAGAAATTTGGTCCATGTAAATAAGCGAATGGGATTATGGGTAATTTCACCTTGGAAACAAGAATATGATACAATGTTATTTTGAATTGCTGAAATAAAAAGGCAGCATTTGAAGAGAATTGCACTTTGCTTTGCTGGTTTGAAGTTTGTGTTTGTAGTGCCTGTGGGTTCCTGAATTGTTCTGGATGGCAGGCATTCCCTCCATTATCCCAAGTGACACAGCTTCCTTGGTGACGACACCATGTGTGGTATGCAGGCCTCAGAAGCTCACCTCTCCTCCTGCTTTGAAAGCTCATCACAATGTAGTCCTTTATGTGACCCCAGAGTAGAGTGATTAGGAGGCACTTGGGAACTGCCTAGAGAATTGTGGATTGATCCAGAATTGTGACCAGCACTGTTTTCCCCATGCAGTTATTGACATGAAGTGATGATAAATTATTTTTAAGAAATAGCTTAATGAATGACAGTTGAGATTGTTTAAGGGCAATTTCTGGAAGTGCCTTTTAGTATTCTGCATGGACCTCTGATCTTGATTTCAAAGAACTGCCATGAAAAAGACTAGTTAAAATTGAATGGTTCTCAAATGAATCCTTTTCGGAATCTTGGCTGAGTAAATTACCACCCAGATCATTTTTTTATAAATATGTAATTTTATAGAATGAAAGGCACAGTTCTTAATATAGTTTGATGAATTTTAACAACTCACATCCTAATCAAGATTTAGGGCATTTCAGTTATCCTAGAAAGTAACCAGGTGCCACCTTCCAGTTAGTCCCCTCTGCCGCCATCCCCCTTCTCCACCCTCTGTTCTGCTTTCTGTCACTGTTCTGCTTTCTGTCACTACAGGTTAGTTGACCTGTTTTTAAACCTCACATCCGTGTACTCTCATGGGGCTGCTCTTTTTGTGTAAGGCTTCTTTCACTCAGCATTCATGTTGTGGTGTGTAGCAGCAGTTTAATCCTTTTGATTGCTGAGTGTACTCCATTGTTAAATATCCCATAATTTGTTGGTCTGTTCTTATGTTGATGGACATCTGATCCAGATCATGGCTATTATTGATAAAGCTTCTGTAAACATTCTTGTGCAAGTTATTTGTGGACAGGGTTTAATTTCATAGGAGACTGGTTTAATTTCATAGGAAACTGCGTTTCTGCAGTGGTTGTGCAATTCTGTGCCCCTACCAGCATCGTGTGAGTGCTGGTGGCACCATGTCCTTGTTCTCCAGTGTCATCGGTCTTGTTCCTTGTGGCCATTTTCATGGATGTGAAAACATATCTTACATAGTTTTGATTTGCATTTGTCTTGTGGCTAAATGGGGTTGAGCATCTTTTCATGGGTTCATGAGCCACTCATACATGTTTTGTAAAGTATCTGTTCAATGTTTTACCCTTTTTTTTTATGAATCAAGAAAGGTAGATTTATTAAAGGAAAGATATGTTGCGAAAGTTAGAAGGGGCAGGACAACAGCATGGTTGTCAGTATCTGCTGTCTGCTGCCTGTTTTACCCATTTTTAAAGTTGGGTTGCTGATCTCTTCTCATTGAATGGTGGAAGTTCTTTATATTTCCTTTGTCAGCATCTTAGGTTGTGTCCCCAGGAAACTCTGAGAAGGTTAGCACGCAGGGACTTCCCTGGAGAGGCTCTTGGAGTGACATTTGGGGGAGAATAAGCAGGAGGAAGCAGATGGAGAGGCTGGGATGTAATTCAGTTGCAGTAGAAGCCTCAGCTTAGCCTTTAGCAGGCTCTGGGGCTGGATGGTCCTTAGAGAGATCCTGGGTTGAGGCGGGGGTCGGCCCTGTACTCTTTCATGTAGCCCCATGGCCTGGTTACTGGATGTGGACTGCCCTGGGGGAGGGGGCATCGTCAGGTTAGTCATGTGTGTTGGCCCATGTCAGGTCTTCAGCTTTGAGCCACCAGTAGGCAACGCATCCAGCTGGGTAACATGTCTTTGACCTGAAGTGGACAGTGACAGAGCACTCGCAGAGCTGTGTATTTCCCCACAGAACATACATGTGTAGCTTACCTGATCATTTTCTTAATGGATCATTAAGTGTTTTATATTTTGATGTTAAATTTTTCTTTTATGATTGGTATATTTTGTATTCTTGCTAAGAAATCTTTGCTGGGCCTGAGGTTGCAAAGATATGCTCCTGTGGGAAGCTTTTGAGTCTTGGGTCTTATACTTAGGTGTGTAATCTGCCAAGAACTGATTTTGGGTGTCTTGTGAGCTGCCCCCAAGTCATCTTGAGAGCAGTCAGCTGCTGCCCTTTGGACATACCCCTTCATCACACCCCGTCTTCCCTTGACTTGCAGAATGAGCAACTTTCATTTCTGCTTCCTGGAGTAGAGTAGCTACAGTGCTGATGGGACTGTGTTCTTCCTGAGCATGCTGTTCATTAATTTGAATTGTGAAATTAAGAAATCAAGTTTCTGGAAGGAGACAGTCCAGTTTTCTGCTGACTTTTTTGCTTCCTTAGGAATAATACTTTACATCCATTAATTTTTTTTAAAGGGTGATTTTTATGAGTTGGTTAGAGACAATGATGAAAAGACTGAGTAATTACCCTGTCACCTCACAGAGTAGAGCCAGTTTCTCATCTTGTGTTTTCCTTCCCCTGACAGTTGGTCTCAGATGAGTGTCGTAAGTAGCAGTATATTCAGGGAGTTTAGTAACTTGGAAAAGACAAGTAACCTTAGAATAGCTCACTATTAAATAAAGTAGTAAGGTGAATCCTTATGCCTGTAAAAAAAAATTAATAAACAGTAAAATAGTAACACCAGTGATTTGGTGTCATTTTCCAAAAATACTTCAATCACTTTCTTCTGTTACCTCCATATACCTTTTTTTTTTTTCCCCAAGACAGGATCTCATTCTGTTGCCCAGGCTGAAGTGCGGTGGTGTGATCATAGCTTACTGCAGCCTTGAACTCCTGGGTTCAAGTGATCCTCTCACCTTGGCCTCCTAAGTAGCTGGAAAATGTATGACACCACCATGCCTGGCTACTTTTTAAATTATTTGTAGAGATGAGGTCTTGCTATGTTGGTCAGATTGGTCTTGAATTCCTGAGCTTAAGCAATCCTCCTGTTTTGGTCTCTCAACGTGCTGGCGTGAGCTTCAAGAGTCTAGATTGCCAGCTTGTGGTCCAGATAGGTAGCAGCAATTCACACTCCCTCTAGTGTCAGACAAGTGTACTCATTTCTACCTGTCACGGAGAGTAGACATTTTCCCAAGTCATTGCCAGCTTGATCAATTAAAAATGGCGTCTCCGTGTTTTTAACTAGCATGAATTATTCTTGAAACTGACTGTTTTTCCTGTTCACTGGCCATTGTAGATATTGATCTCACAATGAGCAGCTCGCAATCTTGGTTCCAGGTACTGCAAAATTTTCCCTGACTCATTAATCGGTCCTTTCAGTGGTTTCTTCTGTTTTCTTTCCAGGAGCGCCTGAAACTGGTGACTGTCTTGGGTGCTGGTCTTCTCTGTGGAACAGCATTGGCGGTCATCGTGCCTGAAGGAGTGCATGCCCTTTATGAAGACATTCTTGAGGGTGAGAAAGCGCAGAGCCTTATTAGAGAGACATTACTGACTTGGGGGGTTGGCAGGAGAAGCTTAGTGGTGTGTTTTCTGAACTCAGTTCATGTTTACCATAGAATTCTGCCTTGAGATTTTTTTCTTTTTTTCTTTTTTTTCTTTTTTCCCTGAGAGTGTTGCTGATTCAGTGGGCTGGCAAGGAAGTGTTTTTTAAGAGATATCTTGATGTCTTTGACATTGAGTACACCCATAGCCGTTTATGAACTAAATGCCCCAACTCATGAATACCTCTTAATACTTATTTGCCTTTATACATGAATTCCAGTCTTTAAATGTCACAGTTCTTATTTAATGCCATTCAAAAACTTCCCAAATCCTATAATACATGGTTGTATTTTAGTGTTCTTTGGTTTAAAATATATATAGATACACACATTTAGATTCAAGGACCCTCCGCCACCTTTTGTAGATAATTGGTGAGGCCTATTTAGTGAAGGTAAAGAAAGGACTTTACCTGACCCTATAACAACAGCAGAGAGAACCATGTGAGAGAGAGTGCTCGGTGGTGTGTTTGGGTCATTCACCAGCAAAGTAACTTGGTCCTTCACACCAGCTTAAAAGCACACTTGACTCACATTTGTAACTGCAAAGTCAGGTTACTACGTGTCATGAAACTTCGGTTATCTGTAAAGGATTGACACTATAGCTGTTATATCTATGAGCTGGGTGCCAAGAGTTTCCTGGGTTTTAAGATATTATAGAGAGGGAGGCACCTTCCACATGTCTCATTAGTATATACCAGGGGTCCCCAATCATTGGACCATGGACCGATAACTGGTCTGTGGCCTGTTAGGAATCAAGCAGCACAGCTGGAAGTGAGCAATGTGTGAGCAAGTGAAGCTTCATCTATATTTATAGCCACTCCTCATCGCTCACATTACCTCCTGAGCTCTGCCTCCTGTCAGATCAGTGGATGCATTAGATTCTCATAGGAGCATGAACCCTTTTGTGAACTGCACATGTGAGGGATCTAAGCTGTGTACTCCTTATGAGAACCTAATGCCAGATGATCTGAGTTGGAGCGGAAGCGGTGATGCTAGTGCTGGGGAGTGGCTGCAAGTACAGATTAACATTAGCAGTGAGGTTTGACTGCACAGAGACCCTGGTAAATCAATTGCTTGCGGACCCATATCAAAACCCATCTGTGAGTGGCAAGTGAGTTGATGTACTTCAGTTGTACAGCTGCATCTGGTAGCAGGCTTTAAGTTAGAATTGAATACTTATTTTAGTTCTATTTTATAATAGAAATAAAGTACACAATAAATGTTATGTGCTTGAATCATCCCAAACCCCCCCTCAGAGAAATGATCTTCCACAAAACCAATCCCTAATGCCAAAAAGGTTGGGGACTGCTGGTATATACTATACAGCATAATAAAGTATATAAATGTAATAAATCCATGAGCTGGGTTCTCAGATGCCAGGAGTTTCCTGGATGTTAAGATAGTAGAGAGAGGTAGGCACCTTCCACTTGTCTTACTAGTATATACTGTACAATGTAATAAATGCCACTTCAGATCTTGGTGAAGGAAAATAAATGTGTCCATTATCCAGAATGATTATGTCCTCGTGTTGGGGTTTGGTGGGCAAAGGGTGTGGGGTGTTATAAATAAGAATTGTGGAAGTGTTCTTGCAAAATAGGACAGGGGCTGAGGCTTGGTCCATTTTAGGGGACAGCAGTAATAACTCAGGAGCTTTAGAGCAGTGGTTTCTTGGTCACACATCCTACTGTGGGGGGAAATGATTGACATGCTCTCTTGCACTGATTTAACGTATACAACATAAAATATACTCCAACAATAGGAAAGTTTTGAAGTCTGAGATTTAAAGTAATTATATATAGAAGATCAGTACTTTCTTCCATATTCCAGTGGTTCATCTTGAATTTTTTTGGGATGTGATTCCACTGTAGAAATCACTATCCTGGTATACTAGAGAACATTCAGAACATGACTGAGTTAGACAATTAAAAATATTTTTACTTAGCTTTGTACCTAAGAATTACAGGTGACAGTTGTTTTCTAAATTTGTCTGGTAATAAAAATTCCTTGAAGGAGATATGCATTTGAAACATCTAGTTTCCTGCCCTCAACCTAGCTCTTCAGGAAGGGACCTGGGAATATCTATTTTTAACAAGTTATCTGTGATTTTTATTAGACAAGTTTGAGAAACACTGGAGTAAGAGAAATTAGTGCTTCAGATATCGTTTCTTTGTTTTGTTGTTGTTGTTGTTGTTTTTGAGTCAAAGTCTCACTCTATGTCCTGGCTGGAGTGCAGTGGCACGCTTATGGCTGCAGCAGCCTCAACCTGTTGAGCTCAAGTGTTCCTTCCACCTCAGCCTTCCAAGTAGCTGGAACTACAGGCACGTGCCACCACACCTAATTTTTTAATTATTGTAGAGATGAGGTCTCGCCAAGTTGCCCTGGCCAGTCTTGAACCCATGGGCTCAGGCAATCCTTTCACTTTGGCCTCCCAAAGTGCTGGGATTATAGGTGAGCCACTGTGCCCAGCCTGTTTTGTTTTTGAAAAATACCATTTTGACATATAATTTACATACCATATTTTAGGTATAGTTTTAAGGCTAATTTTAGCTATCATGTGTTGGATTGCATTCCTTTATTTTCAATTTTCCTGACTTTTGACCCAAAATAATTTTTTGGATTCATTTGAAAACAGGTTATAAAGTGCTTTATAAACCTTTCTAAAAATAAGCATCTAGTCTCTTCTCTTTTCTTTTTTTCTGAGTTGGAATCTCATTCTGTCGACCAGGTTGGAGTGCAGTGGTATGCTTACAGCCACTGCAGCCTCGACCCTGCTAGACTCAGGTGATCCTTCTGCCTCAGCCTTCCAAGTACCTGGTACTACGGGCGTTCACCATCATGCCTGGCTAAGTTTTTTACTTTTTGTAGAGATGCAGTCTTGCCTAGTTGCCCAGGCTGATCTCGAACCCTTGAACTCAGGCAATCCTCTTGCCTTTGTCCCCCAAAGTGCTGGGATGACAGGCATGAGCCACTGCACCTGGCTCTTTTTTTTTCATTATAGATTGGTTTCCAGCCATAGCCTTCATTTACATTTTAAAAAAAATTTTTATTTTTATATTTTGTATTCGCTCTTTTCTTGTACACATCTATAAGTTCTGACAAATTCATGGAGCGATGTTGTCACCACTACAGTCAAAATACAGAACAGTTCCATCAGCCCAAAAAAAGCCTTCCTGTCCTTTTATAGTCAAATCTTTTCTCTACCACAATCCTTGGGCAACCACTGCTCTCTTCTCTTTACCTATAGTTTTGCTTTTTCAGGATGTCACATAAATAGAATCATGTAATTTCTGGGCTTGGCCACTTATTAGCATAATGCATTTGAGGGTCATTATATGAGGTATCTTCAAGAAGTTGGAAAACACATATTGTGAAAAAAATATGCGCAGATTTCAGAAACATTTTTGCACCAAAACAAATTCGTAATAATAACATGTCATACATGTCTGAACAGGATACAGGTTTGAGTTACTACAAAGGATAAGACATTAGTTTGAAAAGAGTCACTATCAGAGCAACATGAATTTTACTAAAATTGGAGCAAGAACAAACATCAAATTTATGGTGTAGCTTGATGGCAGAATGGTGATGTCACTGGTACTTTATTTACAAAAGGCTTATGAGGACAATGCCCCAAAGAAATCAGAGTTTACAAGTGGATGATTCATTTTAAGAAGGGATACTGCACTGCTGAAGATACAACTTGCTGCAGCAGGCCATTCACATCAATTTTCGAGGAAAGTATTAATCTTGCTCATGCCATAATTGAAGAGAACCGACGATTAACAGCAAAAACAACAGACAGCACCGTAGACATCTCAGTTGGCTCAGCTTACACAATTCTGATTAAAAAATTAATCAAGCAAGTTTCCACTCAATGGGTGCCAAAAACATTGTGCCCAGAGATGCTGCAGACGAGAGCAGAGCTTTGAATGGAAATTTAAAATCAAGATCCTGAAGCATTTCTTAAAAAAAAAAAAAATTTATTTTTTGAGTTGGAGTCTAACTCTGTCGCCCAGACTGGAGTGCAGTGGCATGCTCACAGCCACCCCAGCATTGTCCTGCAGGGCTCTGGTGGTCCTTCCACCTCAGCCTTCCAAATAGCTGGAACTATAGGCACATGCTACCTTGCCTGGCTCATTTTTTATTTATTGTAGAGATTAGGTCTCGCCAAATTGCCCAAGCTGGTCTCTAACCCGTGGGCTCAGGCAGTCCACTCACCAAAGTGCTGGGATTACAGGCTGAGCCACTGAGCCCAACCAAAAAATTTTAACAGGAGGCGAAACATGGTTTACCAGAACCATAGTCAAAGCAGTGACTACCAAGAGTGGGAAGTGGTCCAGTCAAAGCAAAAGCAAACTGGTCAAGAGCAAAGGTTTTGGCAACAGTGTCTTGGATGCTTAAGACCTTTTGCTTGTTGACTTTCTGGAGGGCCAAAGAATGATAACATCTGCTTATTATGAGAGTGTTTTGCGAAAGCCAAAGTGTTAGCAGAAAAACGTCTGGGAAAGCTTCACCAGAGGGTCCTCTTCCTCCACCATGACAATGCGCCTGCTCACTCCTCTCATCAAACGAGTATTTTTGTGAGAGTTTCAACAGGAAGCCATTAGACATCTACCTTACAGTCCTGATTTGACTCCTTCTGACTTCTTTTTGTTTCCTTATCTTAGAAATCTCTAAATGGCACCTGTTTTTCTTCAGTTAAGCATGTAAAAAGACTGCATTGACATAGTTAAATTCCTAGGTCCCTCAGTTCTTTAGGGGTAGACTGAATGGCTAGTATTATTACTTACAAAAATACCTTGAATTTTTTTTTTTTTGAGTTGGAGTCTCACTCTGTCGCCCAGACTGGAGTGCAGTGGCCTCAACCTGCTGGGCTCCGGCGATCCTTCCGCCTCAGCCTTCTGAATAGCCA